AGCTTGGCATTCAGACAAATCAGCCATCAATAGACACATAGAGATAAACCACATTTATACAACATTCAAAAGAGACAATAAAAAAGCTAAGAAGGAAAGTAAAAGACCAGAACACATCCCCTCCAGCAACCAACTCCCAGATAAGCAGGGATTAACTCCAGACAAACAAGCAGAAAATGATACCCTAATCAAGGAACTACCAAGGAGAAAACCACACCCCCACCAACACTGGCAGGGGAAGCTCCTGTTTATTAAGAGGGGGCACACCCCACACTCAAAAGCACTGATGATGTTACCTAGTTGGGTAATGAAACGTCTGCAAGCAAACAACCAAACTCAGAGAGCACCAAAGACTCCGCAGTTCAACCCTGAGCTAAATATATTCTCTTCTATTAGAACCAGGAATATGTCCTATGGAACTCAATGGGACTAATCTCTATGCTGATGTTTATAGGGTTGATTTTTTTTTTCGCTTTTTTGTCTTTGCTTTCTTGGGCTACTATTTCTGCGTAATGTATTCTAGAACAGTTATTCTGAATTCTAATTGCTATAGAATTTTTGCTTTTGGAGGCTGCGAATGTATATTTTGACTGAACACATATGGCAATGGAGACAGTTGAGAAAACTTTACATCATCATCATCATAGTAATATTGATGACAGAAAACATCCCAATATACTTTTCTTATATTTTTCTATACTGGATGCAGAGCTGCATCCCAAAAAACTGGTCTTTTAGCGTTATTTAGATTCCCTTTTTTAAATTGTTGCATGAGTGCATTATTTAGATGCATGATTTCAGTTAACTTAAAACATTTGACAGAAGACCAGACGTGCATCTACAGAGAAGCACACAATATCTCCCATCTTCTCTCTCAGTATTTCTCAGCCTCAGCAGCTTCAAGATGTGTGGACTTACCTTTCTGCTTCAGCTTCCCAAAACTTCGGACGATCTCATGAACAACAGCAGCTCCACTCTGGGGATCAATCCCACCAAACACCCAAGAATCACGGTGGCCACCCAGAATAACGTATCTATCTGGATCAAAAAGGATGAAAAAGCTTCACATTATGATAAGGAAGTTAGTAAAAGTTCACCAAAAGTGGCCTGGAAAGAGGTAAGCACAGGGCCACCATGAATCCTGACTTCAATTTTTAAAGAGATTTTAAAGAGATAATTAAATGAGAAGTTGGCACCTGGAGTAGGATTGACTTAATTTACAAGATCGCTTCTGGATTCCACTTCGGTTCCTATGCGTAACCTGAAGGCATCCATCAGTAGGGGTTAGGCTTTGGTTGCTCTCCATGCTAAGGGCAACTTGTTGCTGCCCTATGGAGGATCTTCTCAAGGACCACCCCATTCGTCCTGACTCACTTGACAGAGATACTCAACTGATAGCATTAAACTAGGCATTCAGGAGACTGAACTACCCACCCAAGAGATCAACAGACAAATTAATAGAGCCAGATCAATTTCCAGGAAGGGCCTATTAAAAGACAAATCACAGAAACAGAACAACAGAACACCATTGTTTGTCACCTACAGTTCATAGCTCAGGCCACCCAAATGCATTATTAATAAGTACAGCCCATACTGGACAATGACATGGCACTTTGTCAGGCACTTGGGTGAATACAGACAACCACCCAATCTGCAGACGATTCTCACAAGCAACAGGCAACCACAGGACAATAATGCTAACATGGGGACCAGACCCTGTGACAAGCCCTGCTGTCTACCTTGCCCCAACATTTACACCAACTGCCCCATCGTGGGCTCCAACAACCGCACACACAAGATTAAAGGTGTCTTCCCTTGCTCTTCTTCTAACGTGACGTATGCCATCATACGTCAATCCAAACCTCTTTGGATTCTATGTGGGACAAACAGATTAAACTTTCTGTAAAAGAATTAATAAATACAAGTCTGACTCAGGGACAAAACAATATCAAAGTATTTTAGCCTTCCCGGATGCTCTGATACAGATCTCAAAGTAGTCATTCTGGAAAAAAGAAACTTTAGCAGCACAGTTGAACAAAAGAGTGCTGAAGTGACAGACGTGAAAGGCGTCAGTCTATCTCAGAAGGTCTCAACACACACAATGGGCTTTTTAACACATTAGTACAATTGTTAGTTGATGAGGTATTTGTAATCTGACCGATGTGTAACCTACATCTACATAACTACCCTGTCTTCCTTTTCCTTTTCCTTTCCCCCACCCCAATTTACGTCCTAAATAATTTGTTGAAGTGTGCTATAGCTTATGAAAGCCTATGCCTTTTAATAAGATTTCTCAAGCTGAAATTAGCACCAACTCCTTCTGATTTTTGGCTCCCATAGACTAATACAGTTCTCCTCCTATGATATCAGAAATGGCCATATATTGTTGCTTTATACCTACTTTATTGTACTTCTGGCACCTAGCAAATACATTTTCCCCTCCCAGGCTTTTTAATATATTACACTGTGATATGTATACCGCAATATTTTCATTTTTTATGTCTGCTGTCATCGTTTTCTTATTTCTACATTGCAGTTAAATTGCTGTTTTCTTTAAATAAGCAAATCATGAATTAGACTGTTGCAAGCTACCCTGAGAAAACTTTGATGTGGAGGGTGGCAGAGATTTAAAAAAATAATTAAAAAATAAGCCCAATAGGCATTATTTGAACATAATAAGGTAGGGAAAGCATTTGAGCCTTTTCCAGAGAGAAGATGGGTTTTCGCATCATGTGTCCAAAGTGGAATAATTTGAGTCTGGTCATTTGTGCCTCGAGTGAGAACTCTGGGCTGATTTGTTCAATGATCCATCAGTTTGTTTTCTTGGCTGTCCATGGTATTCTCAGGAATCTTCTCCAACACCAAAGTTCAAAGGCGTCAATACTCTTCCTTACTGGCTTCTTTAAAGTCCAACTTTTGCTTCCATAGAGTGTCACAGGGAATACTATGGCTTGCATGATTCTGATCTTTGTAGGTATAGACCCATCATGACATTGGAGTATCTTTTCCAAGGCCTTCATGGCTGCTCTACCATGTCTGGAGAGCATTGCTTCTGGAATTATTTCCAAACTGTTTCTCAGAAAAGGCCACAGGAGGGATCTGTATTCTCTTCTGCATAATATAACCCCTGGTCTGTAGGGCACATACGTGTAGCAATGGCTAAAATTCAGCTATCTAGCTAAATTGAAGGATGTAGAATATTGAAGGGAAGCACAGGCAGCAAACTTGGGAAGAGCTAAGCAAATCATCCCAGACTGCTGGCTCAAAGTTGTAGTTTCACTATTCCAAACTCTGAATTCATGCAATGAGAGACGGGCTAGAATAAAGGAATGGAAGCTCATTTAGGAGGTGGCAGAGAGTTCATCAATATATAAAGACCCCAGTTTGGCGTATGGCAACGGAGAAGAGGGAAAAAAAGAGAAGAAAGGAAGGGTGTTTGAAACTAGTTCTGGAAGATCCAGTTTGAGTGAGTACATTTTGGAAAGGAAGAGGAGAAATGAGTTGTTACTTTTCATTCAGTAGTTTACCATTATTTTAAATGTCTTGTGTAGAATGTGTATATTTTTCATGTATTTGTATATGTGCAGTTGGGTGGCCTGAACTATGAACTGTAGGTGACAATCAGTGGTGTTCTGTTGTTCTGCTTCTGTGATCTGTCTTTTAATAGTCCCTTCTTGGAAATTGATCTGGCTCTATTGATTTGTCTATTGATCTTATTTGGAATTCTTTGGGGAGGACTCAGCTCTCGAACTTAGTTTTATGGCTCTGGTTTTATGGCTAGGACTATAGTAATAAATTAACACATTCTATGTAAGTGTGTAACTTTCTCCCCAGAGATTAATCAGTATGTGTGCACACATGGTGGGTCTAATCAGGGTGGAGGCATATGTGTTTCCTCTACATGTGCATGGTGTGTGTGTGTGAGTGTGTGCATGTCATGCACCCATTGAGAAATGCAATGCAGGTTGGGTCACATGATCAGGAGGAGGCGGGGCTTAGGATGTTGGTTGCTAGCATTCCAAGAGGCTGCCCAGATACCTTTTCTGGGGCATTTTTTTCCTGGATTATTTTTTTTCCTCCACAGCCCCAGCCAGATCAAACCCATTTTATGAGCTCAAATTTATTTCTGCTGACTTCTCCTCCCCCACTAAATTTGGCCACATTCTGTTTAGCTTTCAGACCAATGAACAGTGCCGTAAGCCCCCTTACATCATTTCTTTCCAGAGGCAGAAATTCTGTTGGACTAGAAAGAATAATAACTAGTGCTTATCTGAAGCATGACTATTTTGTTTGGAAATGTGCCCCTTTGCCCATAAAAATATAAGCTAGGGTGGTAGAAAACATCTTGGGAGGTTAGATGAGGTAATGGGAGCTTGCTGGCCGGAGGGCCTATCGTGGCAGCCATTTTGTGACAGGCCCCCCCAGCATGCTCTCAAAATTGCAAATGTGCCTTGCAGCCCTGAAAAGTTATATGGGCTTTTATTAAGGCAATTAATATTTGTAGTCATTGGGTAACCAAATCAAGGTGGCCATTCAAATACAAGCCAGAGTTCTATTAATTCTGAGCAGCAGCTCAGCACCAAGAAGCCTATATCTGTAGTAAGTAAAACCTTAGTCGGTTAGCAGCAGCCATGTGCTCTTCCAACTGAGCTATGCCTCCTCCCTAGCTTACAAAGCCTGTGCGAGAGATAGGCTTTACCTGGCTCTGTTGCTCCTCGGAGAGTTCCAATCACGTTGTAAATCCGTCTCACTTGCTTGAAACTGTAGATGTGCATTCTCACTTTTCTAGTGCAATAAAAAAGAGAAGCGGTCATCCTCGGTTAAACTTCCTTAAAAGTGAAACAGCTGGACTCTGAAAGAGAGGTGGGCTTACATTCTGCACTGATTCACTCACAGGCATACAATGAAATACTGTATACTAATGATGCTCTCTTTTTTGATGGATGGGCATGATGCAAGTCCTTCAGGTCTAGAGCGTGAGGAAGGTGGCCAGTAAAGACCAGGCAATGCATTTTCATTACATGTTAAGCTTGGTTAATGTTAGCCTCATTCATTCATCCATCCATCCATCCATCCATCCATCCATCCATCCATCCATCCACCCACCTTGTTATTGTGACTCTGCTAAGCAATGTTAGCTCTGTCTGTCTGTCCGTCCATCCATCCATCCATCCATCCATCCATCCATCCATCCATCCATCCATCC